AATTTTCGAATTTATTTCCATAATCCTACACTTAAACTTGATTTTCTTCATCTTCCTGCTCATTTATTTTTTATTACATGAAATTGAATCTAATTCGCTATTCTTCTTCTTTTTTTCCAGCTTTTAAGTGATTAATCTAAAAGATTTGAACTTAAATTTCATACCTAGAGTTCTTGAGTGGTGAATTTCCTTTGAATTTTCCCTTTCCTTTCTTTAAACCCATGCTTCCTTGAGCTCCATCTTTCTCTCCTTGACATAGAGCAACTCCCCCATTTTATTTTATTTCCCAGCAACTAAGTGCCTGGAACACTCTCTCCCTCTCTCACACGGGTTTCTAGCAGAACACCCAAATAAGCCTTCATTCAAATATTTCAACATATACACACACACAAGCACACCTCTCTTGTTGACACATATTGCACACGTGCACCTTGGGTCAAGCTTCCAGCACATCACTTATACATATGCACACAATCAGATTTCTCAATACCCCCACACAAGTTTCTCTGCACACCCACACACAATTCTAATTTGTTCCATAATTTAATTTATGTCTAGGATTAATTCAATTAAGAATCACTTAATCTTAATAAATCTTAATCAACACATTATTAAATTAATTATAACAAATCATAAATCTCTCATAATTTAATTAATCTATTTGACTTCTATTAGAGCCTAATTAAATATATTTAAATTTATCAATCTGAATCAGATTTTAAATCAATATCCCAAAAGGCTCTAATTATTAAATTGAACTTATTATCATCCTTAATTTTGTTTTCTTAAATCATCTAGGCCTTCAACTTCTGATTAGATTCCAAATTTTCGTCAATCAAATTACATATTCAAATTAGACACCCCATAAATAAATTTAATTCGTAATAATTACAATTTTCAATTTTCATAATTTAATTAGCTTGATTAACTCCAATTAGGATCTAATTAATCGAATCTCAATTTTACTAAGCTGAAACGAATATTTAATTAAACTCCTAAATGGGTCCGTAATTAAAATTAAATTGATTCAACTTCCTAACTTCACTTCCTTAAGCCATTTGGACCCTTAATTTCTAATTTCAAAATAAATCTTTAATAAAATCATATACGAGTCAGATCCCACAATTCTCATAAATCCCAACTTAAATTATAATACTCGACAATTAAATTTCAAATCCTCTTAATTAATCATGTACTAATCATTATACGTGATGGGGTCGTTACAGTAGTAGAATTTCGGACTATTTTGACGGAAAAAGACTACAAAAGTCAAGTTTGATCAAGGAAGTAATATTGTATTTCAATGTGTATATGTTATGTGCTTGTGTAGGTCATGCGCCATTGTCTGCCTGATTTATCTGATATGTCCAGTCTGTTTGATTTGCTTCTGCAGTTATCTGTCAGTTATCTGCAGTTATCTGTGAGTTATATTCAACTTTATTTATTTTTGGTGTGATGAATTAAGATCTGTTTTCTGAAATGATATGTTCTGTACAATAAATGATTATCCAATTTCTGATATATATTCGTGACATCCTTAGCATCATGTGATATCTGTTGGCTGTTACTCGGTATCGGAGGTTCCATCATGGAACTTAATCTGTCTGCACTCTGTTACCCGTACCGGAGGCCCCGTCATGGGGGCTTAGCGTGTTTATTCTCTATTACCCGGATTCGGAGGTTCCTTTATGGAACTGGTTATTCGTAACCCTCACGTGTCTGCATCTGTTCTGTATTTGCTCTGTTAATGCTAATGGATGTATCACGTATACTTAAGCATACCTTGTGATTTCTGTATATGATCTGGACAAATTATGAATTTGATATGAAACTGAATTATGATTTCTGAATTTGTACGAACTCATTCATTGAAACCCCTTTACTTTGTTATTGTTCACTGAGCTTTCGCTCACAGTTTATATTATGTATGTAGGCGAGCCGGCACGTGATCAGGGCCAGAGTTGACGGCCTTCATTTCTGTTTTTGTCAGTCAACCGTTGTGCCTCCCATGGAGGTTCCGGATATGTCAAGTGATTGTTGCTATGTGATTTAAAGTTTAAGTTCTGTTTTCTTGTTTGGTTAAACAAGTCTTGTGTGTATTTTGAAAAAGGAGCTAAGTCTTTTTTGTCTGATCTATATATATATATATATTATGACGTAGGGATGATGTGTATATATGTATATAAAAAGTTTAAAATTTTTCTGCCTCATATAAGTCTGCACAGCTCAATGGACGTTGTATATTTGTTATTTGCTTCAGCTAGCCCTTAATATTATGTTAATCTGTCTCAGAGGCCTTTGGTAATCCCAGGATTACTGGTCGGTTACGATACTAAATCTATAGGAGCGGGTTTGGATCGTGACAGGAGAGTTACTTTTTTTTTTTAATAATCAAATTAAGGAAGCACTTTATCTTTTCATCAAATTTGTAGGTGATCGTTGAGCCGGACATCCTACTTGACAATTGGGTTTGGAATGAGTTAGGGTGAAAATTTACTCTTATCGAACGATGAGCCGAATGATAGGCCGAATTGTTAAAACCCGTTGGAGTGCATCATATAAAATTAAGTTTTTTTATTAATTTTTTATTTAAATTTAATAAAAAATTTGAGTAAACGTTGGCGATAATCTAACACTTTCAAAGTAGATTATGGATAGTTTGAGAAGGAGATAAAACAGTCAAAAATAAAAAAATACTAAAATTGATGCATATCATTAAACTTAAAATTTAGATATAATTTTTAAATTTGTATAATAATCCTTTTTACCATATTACTTCATCTAATAAGTAAAAAAAAAAAAAAATCAATTAAAATAGCGAAATTATAATCAGATAGTAATTACACAAAAAGTGTAAAAGGTTGGCCAATAAAATTTTGCTTTAAAACCTTTTTTGATTTGTTCTGGACGCGTGATGAAAATTATTCATCATTCTGGACATTAGCATCTAAAAAAAATTATATAGTTTCACAACATTCTCTCTCTCCCTCCGAGTCAAAGCCCGTCAGAAGATACCAAATTCTCCTCAAATCAGAAGGTGACCCCTCTCTCGATCACGAATTTGTTTTCATCTTTCACAAAATGTCGATTGTTCTGCTTCGAATTGTCAATTCACAGCTGTTGATTTGTGTTTGGTTGTCGATTTACTCGCTTTTGCTCTGTATATAGCGTATCACTCTCTATTTTGTTTGTTTCTTGCAATATCAGTTTCATATATTATTCATTTCTTCGAGATTTAGGGTTTGATCAAGAATTCACGATCAAGAACGTGTTTTTGCGTTTGGATTACATGAAATCGAACATTTTCCACGATGTGCCCAACATAGGGTTTATCAATAGCCCATGTTAACGAGATCACTCGGGTTTTCTGAGTTCATGTTAGTGCTTTTTTTTTCTTTTTCTTTTTTTTTTCTTTTTCGATGTCGATATTTGGTAATAAATTTATAATTTTTATGTATTTTATTTTATTTTATTTCTTTTTTTCCCTTCTTTGGCAGAAACATGGAAAATAATCATTTTGTGACTAGGGTTTAATTTCTTTGTAATTTGACGCTTTGCTGAGTTAAGTTTTGGTTATATTTCTCTCTAGTGACTCCTGCGTTTCATTCAATTATTGGCAATATTTGAGATCGTTGGCTTTGATTTGCCAAAACAGGTATCAATGAACTACGTGTTTGCAGAACCGTAACTTATAAGTTGAATCTTCAGACTTGATTATTGGAACGAGTGTAATCGTGATGAGTTCAAGTATGTGATTGGTACCAAGGAATGCAGGCCTTGTAATTGGAATTGGAAACTATATTAGTTCAAAATTTTAATTCAATGTCCTCTAATTCCAAAATTAATGCATGGATTCCATGCTGCCTAACACAGTGGTAGTTCAGATTGTGTTCCTAAGTGCTTTTGGCTGGTAAAACTACTTATTTGTCTCTCTGGCTATATTGTAGAATTAGATACATTAAAATGTTAATTTCGCCCTTACTGATGTTATTATCAATATTTTATAATATTAAATATACAAAAATGATTATATTAATTGTTGTTTTTATTATTATTGTAGTTATTAACATGAAAATATAGTCCCAAAATATAACTTGTGCATTCGTATGGAGCGACAATATAAAATTTACAATATATGCTTCTGGAGGAATGAATATTAGTGTATTTTGTATGCATAAATTCTCATTCTAGATGTTAATAGAGATTTTACCAATGCTGAAGGTTTTATTCATTTAATTGGTAACAGTAGACTAAGGACTTTAGAACACAGAATTTGACAGGTGAAGATCATTGGCTGTACATCTCTACATGGCAATAGTTACAAGTTGAAATATATGCAAGTCTACATATTATAGGCCTTAATAAATAATCCATTACCCATCATATTACAGGTTTAACAAATACAAGACATAATAGGCATTTCATCAAACAGGTGGTGAGTGCCACTAAAATTCAAAATTTGAACATACAAAAGCATAATAATTTTGAATTTCAATAACTAATAAAATGAGTTCAAGCATTTTTTTGATTAGCAAAAAAAACATTTAGTGAAATGGAGGTCTTTCTCAACTTGGGTTTTGCTCAAAACTCTCTAAAATTTCTTCAATGAAAGAGAGATCCAAACTGATGAGTGAGAGGGAAGGATCTCTTGAAGGAGAGAGAGCCTGCATGTATATGCAAAAATCCCCAATTTCAGTGTCTCTAATCTGTGAACCCACAAAAATCTCTCTGAAAAACTGTGTTTTGATTTATGGGTTTGTTTATTTTGGCTTCTTTAATCTTTGTTAACCTATATATATATATGTATATATGTATATGTATGTACTGAGAAGATGCAAGCTATTGCTTTATCATGAGGCCTTGTTTTAACTGGCCATGTGTAAATGCATGTGTGTGTGTGTTTTTTTTTGGAAGCAAACTTAGCTTTTCTTCAATGCCTTGGGCAAATATCCTGTGATATTTGTGGGAGATGCAGGCAAGATAACAAACATTGTCAAAAAGTTTTACCAGTCTGATGTGCAATTACTTGAATCAGCATAATTTATGTACATTTTGACCATGATTCATGCTGTTGCCTAACCGAGTACGTTTTCTACTAGTTTTTTTCCTAGTAATATAAAGTTGGAGAATCTGAAGGTAACAAGCAGAAAGACTATCCCAATGAAATTTGTGTGAATATTGCGACAAGGGTACTTGATTTATTACTTTAACCTTGTTGTTAGACGCAATTCTTCTTGCAGCGCAGGGATTCACTGGAGCTTCAAAATGTATTATTTTATCATGAAGATCATTAATGAAAATTTTGTGTGATTAATAGTTATCAGTATTCATTTTTGGTGGTTTTTTTATTCATATTAGGTTGTGAAGTTCATACATTCAGTACTGTGCAATTTGAAAGGTGATGGCATTTGAGGAAGATGCTGACTTGTCAACTGTGAAGTCTCAACTAAGCCAAACACAAACAATGTGGAAGGAGGACATGGAAAGAAGTCAATCCCAGGTGGATGTTTTGCAAGCAAAACTTATGGAGGTAAAGGCTTCTATACAGGGGTCTGAGGAAGATGCAAGAAAGGAGTTGGAAGTTCTTTGGCGGAGAGTCAAAACTACAGCAACATTGTTGACATACCTGAAATCAAAGGCAAGAATCATGGCTGTCCCTCATTTAGCCCATACATCATGTGGCATAAAACAATTAGATGGGGTGGGGCTTGTTGACAAAAATGGTGTACCGGTATCTGGTTGGTCTAGAAACATAGATCTTTCTTCCTTTGAAAGTTTAGATGATGAGACATGGATTGGAATTAGCAATGAGTATGGTTCCCTTGATGAACAAGATGGAGCATATTTTGGTGAGGTATTGAAGAGTGTGGAAATGGTCACTGATGTAATGGAAAATCTTGTCAAGAGGGTTATTATGGCCGAATCTGAAACTGCCATTGAGAAAGAGAAGTTAACATTAGGACAGGAAGAGATAAAAAAGAAGGTAATTCAAATTGAGAGCATGTCAGTGAAGTTGGAGGAAATGGAAAGGTTTGCTCTTGGTACAAATTGTATTTTGAATGAGATGCGACAGAGGGTTGAAGATTTGGTTGAAGAAACATCTAGACAGAGGCAACGAGCAGCAGAAAATGAACAGGAGCTTTGTCGTGTGAAGCAAGATTTTGAATCACTTAAATCTTATGTTACTAGTCTTATCAGCGTGAGAGAAACACTTTTGTCATCAGAGAAGCAGTTTCAAACAATTGAGAGGCTCTTTGAGCGGTCAGTATGCTTATTTTTCCCCTTTTTGTGATTGAATTTGCCTGTGCCTTATCTTGATTATTGTAGGGACATCTTATATTGTTTCAATGGGTTATAATGATGCCTGATTTATATGCTGGCAATATATCCTTCACTCCCTGCATTTCTTTGTTTTATTATTAAATCCATTTTTTCTTCTCATTGCTTCTGTCTCTGTATTTTTTCACATAAGTTTCACAATGTTATTTGCGTATAGGTATTGCTTTTGAAGGGCATTCCATGTGAGCCATTAATATTAAGACCTAACAATAATTGTCATTTTTTTGTGGTCATTCCATCAGCCCTCTCGGTCTACTGTAGACATTTTTTTTGACATCACATACTTAGCTATGTGGCATGTAATCTAGAGCAACTAGATGTGGTAAGTTCATTCTTTATAGGATACGTGCAACGTGTCTAGAATTGCTTGAGAGAATGCAGATTTGTCCATATGGCCTGAGGATAATTTTTGAGAATTGATATTCACTCTACTTAAACCTCTCACAGTCCAATTTTTGTCTTTTAGCCTTTCATAAGGGGAGTGTGAGAGGCTAAATGTGGAATGTTAACAGCATCACTCTTAATTTCTTAGACACAAGAATCTAGCTACCTATTAATACAAAAGCTGATCACTGCTCAATAGTTGTTCAATACATCTCCAAAACCATATTTTTTTTGTCCTTGATTCAACTTTTAAGCATCATAGTTCCTCAACCCTAGTACCCTAGCTTACAAAAAATCACAAAGGCACAAGGGAGAAAGGATAAATGTACAGAAGTTTTTCATAGAAGAGACACGAAGAGTGGGCCCACATGTGGATCCTACACTCTGTCTCTCTTCTGTTCTGTGCCAAAATTCTGTGCATGTAGCACAAATGGGCACAAGGTCACTGTTCACGGGTACTGATCACATTGCCCATAACAACCCTCAAACAGCCACTACAACCTTGTGTTCTCAGCCACAAAAGCCAATCAAATTCAGCCAGTGTACCTCACTCATTCTACATCAATTGTAAATTTGCAATTACTCTTTAAGGTTTTAGTGAACTTTAACTTAGAGGAGTACTCGACTCTTAGCACACACAATGAATGCTGGTAATGTCTCTTGGTAGTTGTACCAGAGACCAGGTAGGTTTTGGTTGGTAACGGAAGGGAGTAGGGGAAGAGGGTGTCTTGGGTGGGGGAGGATCCAGGTTTTGGAGGGTCATGGTTTTGGGGAAGCTATGAGTATGGTAGGTGTCACTGTCATATTTTGGTGTTTCTATTGAAGAATAGATGACTAATTTAATCGGCCTGCCTGTTTTGTTTCTTAATAAAATTGATATCTACCACACCGACTCTGGTTAAATGATAAATTTGATTTCGTTTGGAAGCAGGTTAGTTGCAAAGACCACACAGCTGGAGAGTGAGAAAATGCAGAAAGAAACTGAAGTCCAGAAACTTATGGAAGAAAATGTGAGGTTGACCGCTCTACTTGACAAAAAAGAGGCCCAGCTCTTGGCCATGAACGAACAATGCAAGGTGATGGCCTTGAGTGCTTCGAATGTTTAGTTTGGTAGTAGGGTCTTGATTGCATGTTGCCTTAACGTTTTTTCTGCTCGGCCCACCTGCTGACCTTCCTTGGGAGTCGACAAATAATATTGGGCCAGAAAATCTGCTTTCTTGAATTTACCATTGAGAGGAACGTGTGGAGCTCAAGCTCATTATTTAAAAATACTATTGTGCTGTGATGTTGTTGACTGGAGCCAAAAAGTTCGGTTGGTATGCAGAGTTGTATTAATCAAATAGATAGGTTCTTTTGTATCATTTTCGGTGAGTAGAAGTTGCACCATCGCTGTAAAATTCTACCATCAGTAAGATTTTTTTTAATATATTTTATTTTACTGCGTGATAGCAGGGCTTATTTCTGGCTTAATGTGGCGGCTTTTCCGGAGACAATGCCTTCAACTATCGATTTTTTCAAAGTTTCTTCCCCTCTGTACAAAACTAAGTTATATCACATCCTTTCCATTGAAAAGCTTGGCCCAAAAAGCCCCACTCATTCTAGTTTTTGCCATGGAAAACAGTCTGATCTGAACAGAAGCCATCGATGTGTTTTTCACTCTTGAATATGATTTGTTGTGTTTGATTCAAAACAATTAATTGAAAGGAAAATGTTAATTTAATGGGAGCTTTTTGTAATGGTGAACTGGGAATGCTGGGTGGTTCTGCTTGCTTAGATAATGGAATATGTGGACTTTGCCCCACTGGTGATGACTGAGTGCATTTGAATGGTGCACATTTATTATGACATTTTGAGAGAAACTTCATAGCAGTACATAGTTTTTGGAGTAGGAGAGAGCGTGAGATTATTTGTTGCACTCCTTTGTTCTGTTAGATGCTATTCTAGTAATGACTAACATGTGATGGATATGAAATAAAGTGAGATAAATAGCGCAAATGATATTAAGGGGTTGTTTGAGATGTCCTAAATAAGTGTATTTTTTGACTTTTTATGAAATATGGGTTGGGTATGGGTTGGGTTTGAAGTGATGTAATAGAGAGGTGATATAATTTAAATAAGATGATGTGATTTAAATAGAATAGTGATTTTTTGACTTTTTGAATTTTTTTGAAGATGCTAAACTTGACCTAAATGAGACAAATAGCGGCAATGAACTCCCAAGGGCTGAGGATAATTTTAAAATGGTGTTCCTTTAACATTTTTAATAA